CACTTGTACATAAATTGTTAGATGATTTACACATATTATGTAAACGAAAAAATCAATTATCTATTTCATGACGGTAAAGTAGATTGCATTATACAGAAGTTTATACATTTAAACACATACGAAAGTCATTAATGTTTCCTAACAGTGACTAAGAAAGCATAATTCAGAATCATAATAAATATCTAATAACGGGTTGTTATGCTTAATATATGTGAGAATACCAGCGCTACTCATAAATGAGTACCAATAAATTTAATATATCGCTTAATATGGTGCTAAAGTGACATGCTTATTTTTTTTTTTTTTTTTTTTTTTTTTTTTTTGCTGATTAGTAATATATTTCAAGCGATTCACTATTATAATGGCGAATGATCAATAATTGATAATGAAAAATGTTGATGTTAAAAAGAATATACAATGTATACTGCATAACTTCTAAAATGACCGCCCAACTCTCTTTAAAGAATTGAACGTTACCGATATGTTCCGAAACATTTCCGTGGTTCACGTGGATTATTGATTATTTTTGTAAAATAGAATAGAAAATTGAATACAATTATGGTAAAATGTAAAATAATTTTGACTTTTAACTGAGCACTTGGATGACCATAATGTCGTGTAATCAATATCTTGATTATATCTAAGTTTATACCTGCTTTTTTTAGAACATCTGAGAAAATTTTAAACTGTGAAGAATCTACTATTTTTTCTATTGACTGGTTTAGTGAACTTTCCTTGTATATATCAAAACTTGAGCATTTTTAAATGGTAGCTGAAGGACAAATCTTTATGCGAAAATATTTTGACTTAAAACTATAAGATAAAGACTATCACCAGAAATCTTTGAATATGTTAAGAAACTTTGTTTGGAATTTACTAAACTTTCAAAAAATGTATGGGTATATTGTACTAAAAGTGACTTTTGGAGACTTTTGAGGAAATATAACAACACGGTGTATGCATAGCAAAGAACAAATTTAAAGTTTTTGTGACCAATCCGCGATAATATACAAATATGTTTGAAATTTCGTATACAAATGCAAATGTATTTACAGAAATATGCAGGTATAGATCAAGAAGGGAGACATACATATCCTCAATTGTTTGTGGTCTGAGTGATGTATATATGTATAACAAATAATTATCTTATATTCCTGGTTGAATGCTCTTTGAAAATCAAACATTAAGTCCCTTTGTACAAATGGGTGTTTCACTCTTCATTAAGAAAGGAAATGATAATGTTTTCTTTAAGATAAATAATCTTTAGGAAAATTTTGCCTTTTTTTTTTTTTTTTTTTTTATAAGTTTTTCCATGTGGCAAAGGGAAAATCATATTCGTGTCCCCAAAAACAAGTCCGTAGTTGGACAATTCATGCATAGGAATTTCGCACTCCTGCTGGAATTTAATTGATGGCTTCAACGGAAAAACGATTTTTTCATCGAATTTTATTATTAAGGCGTGAAAAAAATACCAATCACTACTGGGTCGTGGTCTTGTTTTAAACTGGTTCTGTTTCGTTTTTTGTGTATTTCTCTGTACTGGATGAGATTAATGTTAAATATTTTTTGTATTTGACATTTATTTTTCACACTTTAGAATTTGTGTTACGAGTGATATTTTTTCTTTTTTTTTTTTTTAAAGAAGGTTGTTCATAGAAAAATGTCATTTTGACAATAAACATAACATATTTTTTAAATCTTAATAAAAATATGTGTTTTTTTTTCTTTCAATTATATTGTAGCCACTTTTTACATTAATTATTGATGACATCACAAATGGTATATTCTTCCGTATTTCCTGTCAGCGATTTATTGAACTAATAATTTACAGCTTTGTTCATGATAAGCTGTCGATCGATTAATCCTTAACATTCTGCAGAAGATTATTTATTAAATTATTTATTACATTACTTATTATAATAACTTAAGATATAATATAGATGCTTACAATTTCATGCTTCCGAAAATTTGAATGTTGTTTGATGGCTCTTGCTGTTAGACAGTTTGCGTCATAAAACACAATATAAAAACTGTGTTAGAGCCGTGCCATGACAAAACCAAGATAATGGGTTTGCAACCAGCATGGATCCAGACCAGCCTGCGCATCCGCGCAGTCTGATCAGGATCCATGCTGTTCGCTTACCAACCCTATCACAAGTAGAGAAACTGATAGTGAACAGCATGGATCCTGATCAGTCTGCGCGAATGCGCAGGCTGGTCTGGATCCATGCTGGTCGCAAACACACTATGTTGGTTTTGTCGTGACGCGGCTCATTTATGTCTCAAATGTGTACAAACTGAACACATCTGTTTACTGAAAGTAGATGAAACGATGTAAATCTGTACATTATTTGGTAATTTTCAGTTTTATTTTAGTAATAGAATGCAGTGTGTGATGTTTGGGTTATATAAGCAGATGGAGTCTCAAACAATTTATGATGGCCTAGATAAATTGTTGACGAGAGTTTAAAGTTGCATAAGATCCTGCTTGATAAGTTTTATAAATCCTTAACCTGGTGAATTAAACAATGAATTTGCCCAAATAGCATGTTTAGGACTTTGTAGAAATAAAACATGTAAGCTAGTCAACCATGGAGTTTTTATGTAATACTAAGAATAAATTTCACGAATTTCATGTTTTAGTTAGAATTCTACTATAGCTAACAGGTGCTACAGAGCGTGTCACCTATATTTACCAGTATACCGGATGCCCAATTAAACAAAACCTGTAACGAATGCATTGAACTTGCCGAATTGAGCTGCATAAGGTGTCGAATTTCTGCTCCGCGGCGCGGCAGACAAAAATCAGGCCACTTTGTCGTAATTTCGTGTTTTTGACTCGCTCTCCGCAGAGCGAAAGAACAACAAATTGATCACTTTGTCGTGTATTCGTGATTTCGTCTGACGCCCCGCGAAGCGTAAGGACAAAACTCGAAATAGTACAAAATGATCACTATGTGGAACATTTGTTAATTTTCGTGTTTTCGTCTGGCGCCCCGCGGAGCGAAAATACGACAATGTGGTCGCTTAGTATTTTCGTATTTTTCTCTAGGACCCCACAGAGGGAAAATACGACATGATACAAATCAGCCATCATAGCGGCCAGTGACAGACCTTTTTGCAGGACATTCGTTAAACTTTTGAATGTTTTCATATTCGGCCATGTAGAAATTGATTTTAATATCTGCATACTGGTGATGAATTATTCTCGTTTTCAAATATTTTTTTATGTTTTAAATTAGTAAATTGTACTCTTAGAACGAACTTATTCTGTAGCTCGAGCATCAGTATATAAATTATCAATCTATTTAGATACTTTAATGCAAAATTAAATTGTACATGTAGTATAGTTCGGCAAAAATTGAAATAAAATGAAATCGACATTTTATGACAAAATGGAAACTATATTATAATTATCAAATTGAACACAAGTTTTACTTTAAAGTGAATGTCATGCCATCAATGTAAAAAAATACAGCCGAAATTGAAAGCCTTCTCAATAGAACTTTTAAGTGTACGACAGTGCATTTTGAAATAAAACTGCACAAAAATATTGTGCATGTATTTTTTCTATCGGCAAGTGAAGTATCATTTGTTCTATATAAAATAAAATCTTAAATAGAATATCTTAAAACTAAACATATAGCCTTGGTTTATTATGTACTTCTGTTCGGATATTACATGTATAAAAAACACGAACAAGTATGGAATAGCGCGTATCTAAGTAAAAAAATATCATCACCTGAATTCCAGGCTACTAAACATATAAGAACAAATAAGATTATGGGGCAGCAATGTTGCGCAAAATAAGCGCAGCTGTGCAAGGTAATAAACAAATTTACAGCTGTATTTATGTAGCAAAGTCGGTAAGAATAAAGTCGCGTTTTAATCCTCTTTGTATAATAAAAATTTGCATAGAATTTACCTTTTTTTATTCATCCTAGAAGGTATTTTATAATACAGAATATATTATGCATAAAGTATATATATATTAAGAAAGGTATTACCAATAAATTGGTCATATTGAACCTGTCAGAAGACTCGTTCAGAGAATGATATAAACATGGTTGCTTTCTGCTTTAAAATGTATTTGTTTTTCATATGTTATTGTATCATAATCAATGACGTATGGACAATTTTGGTTATCTTCGTCAAAGGTAGATTGTAGTGTGACGCTATGGTCTCCATGGAGTTCAGTGAACAGTGCCGGACAGCAGACTAGAATTAGACGAATAATGCGTCATCCTCAAAATGGCGGCAAAACCTTGTCCTCCCCTGAAAGAGACAAGAGGTAATGACAATTATTTTTGTAAATAAAACGTGTAACATTGTCTTTTATGAATCTTCATTTCCGAACCTCGCTGCTATATGTTTTGTCTTTTCCATGATCTTTATACTCAATCGTCTTTCTTACTCTGTTGTTGTTGTTGTTTCTGCTGCTGCTTCCGCCGCCGCCACCGCTGATGCTGTTTTTATTATTATCATTGTCATAACTAATTTTTTTGGTACGTTATTACGTTATTACTACGTTATTATTATTATTATTATTATTATTATTATTATTATTATTATTATTATTATTATTATTATTAATTATTATTATTATTATTATTATTAATGTTGTTGATAAGGAATTACTATCGGTTATATCAGTGACTAGAAATTTTTATTTCTCGCACAATCGTTTTATGTTTTGGAGCAATATACAAAGATACTGTGTGGCGCCGTTATATGTCGCAACACCGCTAAATGTCGCACTTGCCGCTAAATGTCTCACCATTGACGCTAAATGTCGCAACCGCCGCTAAATGTCGCAAAATCATTTGCCGTTAAATGTCGCAATGTTAACGTTAAATGTCGCACGAATTTCCCTTACCGTTAAATGTCGCAACACTACCGTTAAATGTCGCAAGATGTAAATTCGTGTTAAAATCATGTTTAAAGTAGATTATATTACTTTTTTTACATTCTCAAAGTTATTTTAATTGTAATTGCCATTACACAAAAATTATCTTTGTCTTACTTGGTTTCTTAAATGAACATAAATATCGAGGTTTTGAACTACTATATAATGTAATCTTTAGGCTAGAAAGGATAATTGATACTAAATTCTCAATAGATAAGTAGTTTTCTCTTGTTTAACATTTTCATTTGTAACCCTGATTGACAACAGATTAAAGGTATTATGGTATTGTCACTCTCAGAATTTGGTTTAAGTAATTTCATTTATTTTCTCAGAAACTACCGAATTTGCTTTAAACGTGGTTTAGTTGTTCACTATGATCATATGATGCAATATCAAAAGGCAGATAATCCTAGTTATATTTTGCAAAGTGATTCCCCTTATTTCTCTAAGATGTTTTCGCTCTGATTAACCTTTTGGTTACGGCTTATTTCAAACATATTCACTTTAAACTTAAAATACTTATTTCATATGAAAGTACTAATGCATTTCTAAAGGACAGATGGGTGAAAGGTATTTTTTCTAAAATATCTCCCTTTTTATATCTTCAAAAAAAGAAAAAACATTACAAATATTCACTTCAAACGTGAAATATTGATTGTATATCAAGGCAATTTTTTTATTTTAACAGAAACGGCAAAAACGTGAAAAACATAGTATGAAAAGCACGGTCAATACGAAAATCGGAAAAAAATATTATGTAGTACTCTTTGATCATGTAGTATTCGATCCGCAGTCGGGTGCTAGATATGAGCGAATTTTACGATTATATGCACGGGAATTTTTGTAAGCAGCCAGCCCGCATAATGCGCGAGACTTGTAACCTCGACCTTGTTGGTTCTATTCCCGGGCTGGCCAACTAAAATTACTGATCAGTCTTTCGGATGATACTTTAAATCGAGGTCCCCTGTATGGGTGCTAAAAGAACTTGGCACGTTAAAGAAGGGGAAGCTTCTGGAATCGTGACATCTTTCTATATCTGTTATAGCACTATCCTCCAAAATCTAAAATGACTTGTACTCTTCTGGATGACTCGCCCATATTGGCAACCGGTGGCGAGTATAAATCTGCAAATTCATACACAGTAAGCAGATGTCAAAGTTAAAATAAGTACACAAGATTTAGTACATTTTACGATTTGTCAAACACTATTTACGCTTTGACATTGTGGCAAGTGATATTTTACTCGCCAAGTCTCTTTATACTATGAAAGATTCTCAGTAACTATCATATAATAAGAATACAAATAATTGATTAAGCTCATATTGGCCTTGCTGTTTGGCTAAAGACAGCTAGCCGTTTTGACCAGAGAATTAGGCTTTTTATATCATTGCTTTGCTGTAATGAAAATCTTCGTGATAAATATTTCAATGAAATTAAATCTGACATTTTTCGAAAAACACAAGACATGAATTATACTCGTACATATGTAACGACGATATTGGTTAGATATCTGTAACCACTTTTATGTTCGTCCTAAAATGCGCATGTCGAGTACGTCATAGTGAAGTTCAAATGACCATAAATACAAACACACGCACAATAGTGTAATTATTTTAAGATCATTTTAAGAACTTTATTTTTCAAAACAAAAAAAAAATGGGACAGATGTGTAAAGAAAACATCTTTTTAATTTATTGCAACAATAATATGAATGACCACTGCCTTTCTGACGTTAAAATGGAAATAAAAACACGCATATGACTAGCAAATTCGATAAAAACATAAACTGTTTGTGTGAACTTCATCCTGAAAATTAAAATCTGTTTAAGCATTTGTGACCATGGCCCATTGATCCCTTCCTCAATATAAAGGAAGAATACCATGCAAGTTATCTACCTTCCAAATATGAAATACATTTGTCAATAAATAAAGGCTGTAAAAGTGTAGAAATCTATTTTAGAACTGGTGACCTTGACCCAACTGAACCATAACTCCATCCAAATGAGAAGACGTCAATTCCATGTTCCTACCAAATATAAAAGACATCTTTCAAAAGATTAATTTTAAAACACCTGTAAAAATGTTAAAATCTATTTTTGGCATTGGTGACTTTGGCCTTTACCCACAGGACCCCCAACTAAACCCAAAGGAAGAGGACCTCCCTTGGCATGTTTGTATTAAACATGAAATACATAATCTTAACAAAAAAGGCTTAATGAGCAAAAATTTTATAAAAAATTCACACCAGTGACCTTGACACTAGAGACCCCTTACTCCATAAAAAATACACGGCCATTAATGGTATCAACCTACCAGATATGGAAGATATCATTAAATAAATTTTTAAGATAAATCCAACTTACCGGAATAGGTTAACCATACAAGGTCCTATTTTCAAAGTGAAAAAAAAGGAATATAACTTGGGAAAATGGATTGCATTCTCAAACTTCTGAAAATGGCAATAACTTGATTAAAATTTATGCAATAATTATGTTACTTGTCGTGATCAAGTTTATTGTATTGATTAATAAATGTGTAAATTATGAAGCCCTTTGTACTAGCAGATTTTAGGAAAAATCCAACTTGCCGTTTTATTATTTTGATCGTTCCATTTTTTATAACATGACACCAATTTTAGGCTGCCAGGCTCCTAGATTGCCAGCTTTAGGCTTTTAGACTACAAAGTTAAGTGCCCTAAAGGTAAAGGCGTTTTTTTCCCATAATCATGCATGTGTATGTGCTTTTGCATGACCTTTCATAGTGATTTTACTGTATTTTAACTTGTTTCCATATTCATAATATAAGTCACTAACTTTAAGCTACTAGGCTGCCGACTTTAAGCTGTTAGACTGCCAACTTCAGGTTGCAAAGCTGACATCGATAGGCTGTTAGGATGTTAGGCGGCCTCCTCAGGATACTAGGCTACCAACGTTAGGCTTACAGGGCGTTAGGCAAACTCCTAAGGTCCAGGTCGTCAGCGAGACAATTTGCCTCCTCAGTCAACTAGGCCATCAGACTGCCACCTCAGGTAGCCTGTCTCTTCTGCCATTTTACAGACACAATTGTACTAAACTATTCACAGAACAATGCCAGTTTTGCAGTTTCATACAAATAGTAGACAATTGTATAATTATCAATATGTACTTGCATAAGATCAGCTAAAAATCAAACGCAGAACAATATACATTTATTTACAAGATGAGTATTATCGCCGCCTAAATTGTAGCGCAGTTCCATATATTATAATCAATTCAATCGCTTTCAAATTGAGTAGGCAGATTTAATTAATATGATACAACAATAAAACTTGAGTTCAACATAAAATTACATCTTGCGACATTTAACGGTAGTGTTGCGACATTTAACGGTAAGGGAAATTCGTGCGACATTTAACGTTAACATTGCGACATATAACGTCAAATGATTTTGCGACATTTAGCGGCGGTTGCGACATTTAGCGTCAACGGTGCGACGTTTAGCGGCAAGTGCGACATTAAGCGGTGTTGCGACATATAACGGCGCCACATACTGCTTTGTTGAAGTAGTTTTGTTGAAATTCCGAATTGACATGCCTTTATTGGCAATATATATCTGTTATGGACAGTGAAAATCTAGTGTCTTTTTGAATGAGCCGCACAATTTTGACTTTTCAACATATAAATAAGTTGAATCATATGTTTTGCAACTATTTGATATATGTTAGATTACATGAATGACACTAAATCGAATTTTAACATACAAATGTAAACGAAAATGCAAACAAAACTATTTGTTCTTTTTATGAAAAAAATGTCAGCCAGTGACTATGTATAATCTCTGTGTAGCAATAAGTAAGTCCAAAATATATGTGAACACATGTAAAGATCAATGATGACATGCTTTAAACAACAATAAAAACTGACTTTTAAAGATAGATATACTAGTAGAAAAATATTTCTTCGAAATAATAAAGTAAATTTAGACATAAAATCAACTACAGTTTATTATGAAATTGTAGACTATGTATCACGCAGGAGGATGAATTTCATTTCTTTTTCGATCACCTGTACCAAGGTATTAAAAAAGATTTTTTTGCGGAAAAGAAACCTATTGTATTTATTTTTTTTTAATTTATTTTGATCTGAAAATGAGTGGATACTTAAAACTTTAGCGATGTTTGTTTTCAGAAGTTTTAATGAAAGACAACAGTGTACTGTACAAAAGATAACCATGTCGTATCAATCTATCGTGTATAATATTTATTACAGCTGTTAATAAGAATTGACTTATTTGATGCCATTGATATGTGTTGTAAATAACAATTGTATTATTACTGTTTACTTCCTTTGTATCAATCTATTTTTGATGTAGAACTTACGAATATCAATATCCATAATTAACAAAAGCTTTCTCTTCTAATTTATAGTCTTTTTGAATCGCACCCGTTGGATTTAGTTCTAACACAATTTCGGTCTAACATAATCGAAGTTCATCATCAACTGATTGTTTAACCATGGTAAATGTTTAACTATTTTGGATGAATATTCTCTGTCATCCTTTTAGGGAAAAAAGTGTAAGTTCACAAATGTTTGTCTATTGAGATATTATTATTGCATTAAATTTGTAAAATTATTCTCATATCCAGATATATTATCACCTTGGTCGCAATGGAGTGCAAACTTTGGGTTTGGTCAACAATCGCGAGTAAGGCAAGTCATAGCACCACTATCTAATTCAGTTCGAACTACACTTAATAGTGCTTCGGTTGGTGCAGGACGACCAACTGGAACATATAAGCTTGAAGATTTCCGGTATACTGGTAAGTGAAGTACATAAATATATATCAAAACGTTCACATTTATGCGTATTTTACATTAGATCTTACGATTCACTTTGATAATTTTTGCCGCAATTCCGATATTTATATTTTAGCCATTTTAGTCTATGGGTCAATCATGCTTCCTCGTCCAATTCGTTCTGATACGGTCTCTCATCCTGTTTACGTTTTAAATTCATGTTTGATAAGTTTTACACGTTTTGTCAATGATACGTATGTAGTAAATCGGGAATCACGGAGCGTTGGGTAACTTTTGTGCCCACGGTATAAAACAGCAACAGAGCGGTCTATTGTTAACTTTCTAACATTGTGAGCATTGTGTCAAGACGAAGCCTTACTCAAGCTACCGTTATGCATTGTATCATTCATTTGGTCTCATCGTTAATGATACGTTACCGAACGGCTGTCGTACATGGATATCGTACACAGCTATTGTACATGGCTATCGTACAACCTATGTTGTTTATGTTCCTGTTATCTCCACGATTACCACCGGGAACAAAGTATAACACACAAATATTGATACAAAAATTTCTAAAGTAATCGAAAAGGGTTAGACACAATGCATCTATGTAATCATGGCAAAATTGATACAGTCAACGTAGAACAATCAAGCGTGAATTTGAGATTATCTACGGCATCGTTTCAACAGTGCTTATAACTTTATTCATATTTCCGAGATAACTGATCAAAACAACGATGTTAAAATGGCGAAAGTACTATGGCACGCTGGAACGATGACATGGTAGTGGAAGTGCGATGGTAAGATGGGGAAAATGTGATTTTACGTGTAATGTTATAATCATGAAATAACCATCGCGTCATCGTTTTATCGTCATTATACCATCGAGTTTTCATCATTGTACCATCGTATTTTCATCATCTTTTCATCCGTACCGTCTTACTTTCAGTATCGTGTTTTCGTCATTGTGTTATCTTATCCTCCCGTCTTTTCCCATCATCGCGTAAATAAAGTCACAATTTTTCAAACGGAAAACCGTAAATAAAGATTGAGTATCAGATTTAAACACGTAGTTATTCCTGAGTGACATATTTTTGCCCTGCTTTTATTAAAATTCATTTCCGTACATTTATCCGTACATTTATACAAAGCTTTCATATTGAACAGTTCACTGTACATTTTTTAACTATTACATTAAACAAAGGTATCATTATTTATATGATTGGATGTTAATAATATTTGTGCAAAAATAAAATAAATAAATAAGGTTTTTATACTTGTACAAACATGCAATTAAATTGAAAATTACATTATTTCGTAAAATGAAAAATGTACCACAAATACATAAACACGTTAAATTGTAGAGGTGTAAATTTAACTAGATTTCGTTTTGAACCATTAACTGAAACTTAACATCTTTAAATTATAGTTTTCAATATCATTTCGCATTATCTAGCAATATCACTGACAATTGCAATATATTTGACAGGAATGACTCCAGATGTTAGAGAAACTGCAAAATCACTCATGAACTTCTTTTTGAGACCAAGTTGGCAATCTCTTGCTACACCACTTAAAAGCTTAGCTTTCAGCCCTGTCAGTCGCCGCAGTCAGGTTCCAAGGCTAAGAGATTTGGTTCTTATCTTAGACAGTTCTGGAAGCATTGGCACAACGAGTTTTGTCTGAGCAAAGGAACAGTTAAGCAAACTTATCGGTTTGATGTGTCCGGCAAAACCATTTGATAGGATTGATGGGTCTCCCTATCAATTTAACCAAGCTGCCATGGTGACGTATTCGACGCATGTGACTACAAACTTTTATTTCAATACATTCAATACCACAGTCAGTATTCAGAATGCCATTAAAAGCGCTGCATATGTAGGACGGTTGACATATACCAACAAAGCGTTTGATCAAGCAAAGGTTCTCTTTCAACCTGGCAAAGGTAGGCAAATCATAATTCTTATTTTAAAAAGAACTGAGCCTTATTATTCATGTATTATTACACTTATGTCATGGTAGGTCTACACTACGATTTCACGACAAGCTGGCCAAGATTTGTTTTTAAATAAGGTGTGTGCTTAATAAAATATTTGCTAATTCCGACTCAACTTGCACTGTCTGCCGAAATAATATAATATTATCCTGAAATTGGCCCACAATGTTGCGTAGAGTACTTGAAAACAGAAGTGCAATAGGTCTAATATAATATATTATGTCATAACACTTGTTACTATAAACAGTAACACAATTCAGCTTACTTACATCCTTTTATAAATTTCACATGACAGATTATGAAGATGTCTTTTCAGCCCAGAATGGAAAATTCATAATCGGCCAGCTAAACGTTCAGAGCACCTTGCAAATTTTTATATTTATATGGACACTTGATCATTTATTCTTTACTACTACAGTACAATTGAATGTTTGTTTGAATAGCATACGAACTTTCAAAATCCTTCGAGTGATCGTTTGATTCTTTGCTATTCTAACTTTACATTGACATTTAAACTGTTTTGTTTGCTAACATTATCTCACAATTTTTGTTTAGTTTTCAGTCGCACAAACACAGAACATATCACATGTTGACTTTATAATCATCCGTTAGCTAGCTGGATTTCCTTAGATGAAAGAATCCAAAGTTCCTGGTGGGATTCGAACCTGCCGTGGTGATGGGCATACTGTAGGAATCTCACGTCTATTGTTATCTCTTCTTACAAAATTTTACATTTGGAGCTGTATAAAAGGTCAGCAAAAGATATAACATTTTTATATCAACCTTAATTACTAAACTTAATGGACTGATTTTAACTTTACTTTTAAAAATCACATTTTCCAGGTGTAAGAGATGCTGCACTCGCTAAAAACGAGGTACTTATTCTTTCTGACGGACAGTCATCAAGTCGAACGTTAGCTCAGACTGCTGTTGGAAAACTCAAACTTGTAGCGGATATATACGGACTCATGATAGGAAACTTCACACAGGCCGGGATGGATGAACTCACAAAATGTGTGTCTTTCCCGAAAAATGAACATCTATTTTCCATAAAATATTTCTCACAATTTAAAGACTTAGTAAACGCCCTTGAAGCTAAGAAGATACAAGCTGGTGATAAGTGGTGTGCACCTTTCACTCCGTAAGGTCCATACTTTTGTGAACTGCTGTAAAATAAATCATGAACTCGTACTGTTGATAATGCTTATCTGATAAGAAGTACAGTGTCAAATGTTCCAATATAGACTTTTTTCTCACCTTTTCTGTAAAAGTATATTCTTATTGAAAGCTTTATATTTGAGCTTGATTTATGACTTTTTATCATCACATTACATTGAGTTTTGTTGATAAGGTGCATGCCTGATAAAATTAGCTTTATCAGTCACTCTCAGTGTATCAGACACGCCATCAGTACATATTAAAATTTAATGAAGAGAATATAATAGTTTTACCTCTTTCTAGTTTGAGATATCTAACTGGTTAACATTGAATCGAATAAAAAAAATTCTTATATTTGACCACAATATTTGCGACTTTTTCTTACAGTTATTACTTTAAGCATATATATATATATCTGCGCCGGCAGGAACTCGAGAGGTTCCTGGAAGATTTTTGTTTCATTTGAGACGCATAAATAAAATTGAAAACATGATAAATAGAATACCAAACAAGTGCCTGATATTAAAGAATTATCAGACTCGGCACAAAAAATGAAGGGCTCCTTTTTTCTTAGCCTTGCGATATAAATTTTGAAATATCAGGCACTACCATAATCTATTTTTCTATTGCATACTAAATTTTTCTTTGATTAAGAGGATTAATAAAGCTATATAACAATTCTGACACAGATACATTGTACAATTGACAGAATATAAGTTGTTTCCCTATCTTCAATATATGTTTCCCTATCTTTATTAGATCAATTGATATCATATCAATAAAAGTATCAACATAAGCACCAAAGTTTCATCAAATCATTTCTTTGAAGGACTTCGCGTGGGCGTGGTTGGTAGTTTTCACTTTACAGTATCGTTCATGGACAGGCTCAATCAAACCGAAAATATGATAAATAAGATCAACAAGGAAAGGTGGCTTTTAATCAACGCAACCCCACGCAAACCAGCAACAAGAACCAGTGGCAAGAAGCCCAGGCGGACCCTAAACAAAAACAGGACAGGGCACAAGGCAACATTTACAATTTTGCCGTTTTGGACTTTCTTTAGGGATTCTTATTTTCTCTATTTCTCTATTTTATCGTCACATCAGAGTTGTTTGTGCCGAATTGAGGCAGTAAAAAGTGGCCCTGTTTATTCAATCAGAGATGTTATATTTCCAATCCTTAAAGATCGTTCAGCACGACATTATTGTTGTGTTTGTGCTACTTTTAGTTTTTACTTTCGGCATTTTTTCTACTTAGGTGGTTCCATCAATAAAATATTATTCCTACTTGAATAATGTTGAATCACCATTAGGATATGTTGCCTGCTGTTTAAATGTGTCTTTTGACGTTTTATCTGTGATATGCATGCTTCATAACCTCTGTTCCCCTTTCAAATTCCATTTTATTTAGTTCCGCCCATTGTTTTCTCGTTTAGGGCACACGCATTCTTTTACTTTGGGACCATACGCCGCTTGTCATGGAATGGCACGTATGTCACATTGAAGGTTCCATGAAAACCGCCGATGAACACATCTGCGGATGTTTCTGAATTCAAAATTTCACCATTACCATGATTAAATGATGAAATCTGTTTAAGCCGGTGCTAGGGGGCGTGGATGGTAGGTTGCACTTTACAGTATCGTCCATGAACAGGCTCAATGAAACAGAGCCTGCAACATTTTCAATATCGCCGTTTTGGACTTTCCTAAGGGATTCTTATTGTCTCTATTTTTTCGGCTTTGGTTCAGTGATATGACGCATAGCTATTAATATATGGACATCCGGCTTTTCAATAATTCATTTGTACAACTGTTTTGTGTAAATGCAAATATTTGGTTTGCCATAGTCATATTGAAAGATTTCCTTAGAGTTCAAACGACGGACACAAAAAAAACAATATGGTTTTAACAGAACCTAATATTAGTTCGACTTGTACAAAGTTCATAACTATTAATTTATCAAAACAGTACATATCGAATTTATTTACAGAAAACCATTTTGTAATACATTAGCAACATACTTAAAATACAATGCCGTGTCATCATTTACAAATCATTATTAAAGTATGTTAGTTATAAATGTATTTTTAATCAATAAAAATAAATATTATGATGATTTGTACGTAATAATACTGTGATAGCAATGCAGCTGTTCCGAGAGAGGTTCATGTCTTACATATTGCTTAAAAGAAATAGATGTAGTAATTTAAGTAAAAGGTAGACTGCAAATTTCATTTACAGAATTAAAAATGTAATTTCTTACTTAAATGATTTCTTATTTATTTATTTTGCAAGATTAGGTACTATGAACAGCACATTATTTGCTTAATATCAGTATTTTTTATATTTATTTACTTACTCATTTATGTATGTATGTATGTATGTGTGTGTGCGTGCGTGCGCGCGCGCGTGCGTGCGTGCGTCTGTCTGTAGGTAGGGTAGGTAAGGGTAGGGTAGGGGTAGGTAGGTAGGTAGGTATATGTATGTATGTATGTATGTATGTATGTATTTTTTTATATATATTTATGCTAAAATTGTATTGATTGAAGCAGCACGCTCCCAAATGAGCAAAAGTATTTGCACCCCAAAACAATCAAGCCAAACCACTTCGCAAATATTTTATGGAATGATCTCCAGCAATGGTGGTAGAATAAAACAGGGCAAGAGGAATAACAGAGCAATATCCAGAAACAGATAAAGTCCAGTACGGCGACTTTATTGCAATTTAATCAAGAGCAAATATTGATTATTATGTTAAAGAAAATATCGTTTACAGTACGTCTATTTTTATTTCAGTTTTATATTATATCTCTGGTTTATACAACTAAATCTAAAAATAGATATGAATGTGTTGATCTAAGAGTAAACGTATACTACATGGATTAATCGATCAGTTTACGTGACTGTTTATAGTGTTAAAAAGGAATAAACCATTAAGTTTTAATTTAATACTAAAAATTGTTATATAAATGAAGACATTTACGAAGTTCCATATCATTCATGAGGTAGGTTGCAGTTTATATTTAGAGTAAATATGTGGTAATGATCGTTAAGATATTAACATTTAAATATCGATGATTAACCTCCTGTAATAACGCTTACAATTGTATTCTTAAATTATCTCCCTTCGCTTTTATGTGCATAGTCGGTATAAAGTAAGTATTGTGAAACATTTATTTATACGTTTACCATACGAACTGAAAATATAGATTAAAGACAGTCATTTACTCTGATATATTGTAGAGAGATATATACCGGTTATGAAAACGTATTAAAACGATTTTAAACATTTGTCGGAAGACGTGTAGCTAGGACGTTTTACAGTTATTGTATTGGATAAAATATGAACTAATTATAAACGTACGTATTTGGTTTATTGAGTATAAGGATTGAAAATGGAATAGTATATCATATGATCAGAATATGTATTGTATATATCAATATTGAGAATGATTACGTTATGTGAGAAATAATAATAAAGTAATCTTAACGATTATTGTCTTGATATAGGGCATAGGATTTAAACTGAAAACAGAGAGTGGAAAAGCAATATCAATGCAAAAAGTTGTAAGTGTATATTTATTAATAGCTTCATACATACATACATACATACATACATACATACATACATACATACATACATACATACATACATACATACATACATACATACATACATACATACATACATACATACATACATACATACATACATACATACATACATACATACATACATACATACATTCATACATACATATTGTAATTTTCTTATTGAAAATATGATAATAAGTTATCTACATGTATATCATTTTATTTTCAAAGTAATGCCAATAATAACACTCTGTCTGGACCATTTTTAGTTTTTAAAGTGTCCTATTTTCACTTTGGTACCGTTGCACTCACTAAACTGAGTAAAAAGGCACTTTTGCAAAAGTAGATTAAAAACCTTACATTATTGTCATATTTTCAGAGATAGATAGCACTTCCAATGGCATCACAAACATCTATCAAGAGGGAGGAACATAACTACCTTCGACTGAATCTATTAGTGGTCAAGCTCTCCACAGCTGTGCTCAAAGCTAGATTTAACAAAAGCGTTCCACCTAAAAGACTTCGTAAGAAGCTGAAAAAATCTCTTGGAAAAATAGAAATCGGCAAGAAAAAGAACATTTTAAGTCAAAAGCAATACGATTTACTGTTTCCTCAAGACGCAGCACCAAATTCTGATGTATTCGATGTTACTTTACTTGTGTATTTGTTAAGACATATATGTGGACTCGATGGAAGAAGTAAGTGGTGGACGGAGAAAGAGAACAGAAACATTCCAGATTCGGTTGTTGAAGAAGTGGCTGATATCGTTCGAATAAGAAATGTTCGGAACGAGGTACAATCTTTCATTACTCAAAATGATACATACTATTTATACATATATAAAGTTAAAAGGTGGAACGTCCATGGACGAGTCGTTAAGGTCGCTGACTTCAAACCACTAGACACCTATCCCCGCCTCGCCCCGCCCACCCCCACCGCTGTGGTGTATCCAGAGTCAGTGCGGGTTTCAATCCAAGAAACAAACCAAACAATTTCTTTTCCGGTGCCTTCATGGGCGCTTCCTTTTGAAATATGAAATATGTACATGTATTTCATTGGCATTTAGTCACTACGAGTATAGCTACCAAAATGAGTGGATGAATGAAGAAAAAATCAATCGATTAGATGAAAAAATACTTGAAAACATACACTTTGCTTTAGTGTCAAATTTTATTTGTAGATTCAACATGCACAGGGAGCGTCTATCGACCAAAAGAATTTTGAAGAAAAATGGGACGTAACTGAAAAGGTAATAAATTCAGAATAGACAAAATAAATACATAAATAAATTAGATGAAAATAGTGACATATGTTACATTGTCATAGATTCTGGCTGTCCTTTTCGAAAACAGACATTTTGGAACAAACAAAAAAACTTTCTAGAAGCTTTAACTCTAGCATATACGCTATTGTTACTCTTGTTGTTTTATTATTATTATTATTAATTATAATTATTATTATTAATTATTATTATTATTATTATTATTATTATTATTATTATTTACGCTATTGTGGCTATGACTGTTTTTAATATACCAAAACGTAAATAAACAACGTCTATGTTTACTTCGCATTACATCAGTGATGTAAAATTAACTTTTACTCTTTTATGACATATTTTCATAAAGTGGTAAATTCTTTCCTCAAAAAAGACAATTTTACTTTATCATATTTATACAGAATTTAGGGTAATTTAACATTCTTTTGCTGAATAAAGCATTCTGAAATAAAATTTATACAATCAGATCTACACATTCATTGAGGTTAAGTAATTTATGTCAAGTTTTTAGTACACAAATTCCTGTATGACATTATTCATTGCTGTTGTTTTTATTTATTTATTTATTTATTTATTTATTTACTTTGTTATGAGCATCGTTGCTTCTTTATCGGTAAAATGATTGCAATAGATATGGTGCATTTCTGTTCTCAGATTTATTGTTGGTTATGGCCCTAAGCTTTAGGCAAAATGTCATATGCATTTTCACAATATATTTTGTAAATATAGTGGCCGTTTGGTTTATGCGTTTAATCATCAGTCGCGTTAGATTCAATCTAATTTAAATCAGCTCTAAATAACGCTCCGCTTTTAGATCTAACCTGCTACCAGATACGAAATCGTTTCTGGTGACCTTCCACACAGCCAATCATCGGCGAGCTTTCATAATTTTAAAAGCGATGTGGTGTCTAATTTTAACCCTGGGAAAACCAATACTGAGTAGGTAATTTTCAAGAAAAAACATGGCGTTGTCCATTTAGCCGACAGGTAATCTGGCAAAACAATATTTCCCCTTAAAATTTGTCTCTATTATTCCAAGTCAATTTGTGAAAAATTACTTCAATTTTTTTTTCTAACAAACATCAACAATCTGTTCAACTTCCACGGATAACGACATTTTCATACTTCTTCTTATGCCTATGTGAACATGGTTAAAAATAACTTTCTCGCGAAATCCGAATTATAAAGAAGGCGAAACATATACGATCTAAGTAGATCTGAACTTTAGTCAGATTGCGTTAGATTCAACCCCCTATGAGCCTTGGTTTCATTTTTTGCTAAGTACTGTTTGGTTCCAGCAGCAAAATTGAGAGTTTGTCTTATAACAATTATACCTTTCTACAAAATCGAATTAAAATAAAGTTTTAATCAACTAAAACATATATTTCAGGCTATTTTGCGACTAAGTGAAGTTTGCGGTTTGCAAGAACTACCCAAGGAGATAGAGATGATTAAGAATCAACCATTTGATACTGTCCAAGAGAAGGTTGTTGTCATTATGCAGTCACATGGTTTTGATGACGATTATCGATACTATGATGACGATGATGAATATTATGATTATGATGACTATGACGATTACGACGATTATGACGACTATGACGGTGATAGGTATTATTCGGATGACTCCGATTCTGAATATTCCGATGTTGAATCCGATGATAGTAGGTATAGAAAATATGAACGCGATTATCGTGACAACAAATACGATCGGTCAGATGAAAGCGATACATATGATGATAAACATGATGATATCGATTATGGTGCTGACAAAGATTATTACCACCAAGACAAGAACAGCCGTTCCAGAGATCGTGATAGTCATGAAGATGCTCATGATGAAAACAATTCACGTAGAGACAAATATAGTGACGACGATTCTGATGATGATGATAATACTAGTATTAGAAGAAAACATGACTCAGATTATATCGATAATCGAAGAAAAAATCGTGATGATACTGAACGTCACAGATATGATCGTGAATATATCGATTATCGAGAAGACAGGTATGATGATTACGATAGACGTGATTATCGAGACAGATATGACGATTATCGTGGTCGTAAACGATATCATGAAGAGGTTGATTATGACAGCGAGTCTGATGACGACTGAATATAACAAAGTAAAGTGGTGTTAGACAGGGCAGCATATTATCTGTTTTTGTTTTTCCCATCCACACCGTTTAAGCATCAATAAAGAAAAGATGTAATGATAAAAACGAAAAGTAGCAGATATTCAAGTTTCCTTGACCTCGAAGTTCAAAACAGTTATTTTGGGCAGATAATGCATTACCGAATAGAGACTCGTATAACTTTGTAAAATTAAAATAGAGAAAAAAAACAATACATAAAAGAACAAAGCATACATACTGTGAGCAAAGAGTAACGGAGAGAAAACGATGATCTGATTTTAATGAGACTGAGCAAATGTCAGATCTTGGTTATTAAGTCTTAAATTTTAGATTATGTTTGCCAATTTCCCAGATCCTGTTGATGGTAAAAAACCTGTACCGCCTTAACTTTTTTTTGTATTTTAAAGTTGGCATTTCAATAAGGAGAACGTATATGTTTCCTCTTTATATAATCATGTTAAATATTCTTTTGTTATAATACATGAAAATTATCTCAATAGTAATGCGTTAAGGAAATATCTTACAAAATTTAGAATATCTTTTTTTTCCTCATTCATCACATGTATATAAGAGAAGATACCATACGAATAAAACTGTTAGAACTGAAAAATAGTGTGTATATTGTAATCTTCATGACGTTAAAGACGAATATCATTGCATTACCTTAATATTGTAACGGTATAAGAAGAATTATATAAAACGATACTATTAAACAAGACCTAGTTTGTTTAAATTGATTCATATGCTGAAATCATAAAAAATGAAATGTACTGATAAATGTATTCTTATATATAAGAAATTTTTGTTGACATGGAATTTCCTTCTTTTCTAGACAAAACATAACTTTATTAATAATACTCTATGTCAATATGAAAATAGCCTATTTGAATTTTATCATTTTAATTTATATATAGTGTATATTCATTGTCATTTTGTTTATATTTGTATGTCGATGTATAATTGTACAATTCAAAAATATAGCATCCGTACTGTTCTGTAATTCAATAAAAATACAACTGAAACAAGTACTTTTTGCAAGTTTCTTAAACTCATGTTTAGATTTTTATGGCTTGTTGGAACGAGTTATTTTTTTAAGCTTATCCCTCCTCTTGGAACGTTAAAGAAATTAGCCTTTGTCACTGTAGCATCATGATCTATCATGTAGCATGCATAGAGACCTTTAAGTTTATTATACGAAGTGGCTAGGTTTACAAGTTACTACCTTTCCTTTGGTTGGGTCTTATGTCGCACAACTTTGTGTAGATCATATGGCGACTTTTCAACTTTATTGATGGAGGAAGATCTCAGGTACCCCTTCCGTGCATATTTTCAGGCACGAACTGGCACCTGAATAGAACCATTAGTTCCGTAAGCAGCTAGGGCATTCCTCCAAATGCAAAACCAAGTCTTTAACAGGATTAAAACCCCAGGAGGAAAGGGGAACGGGGTAAATCAAAAACCCTTTAAAATTTTCCGCCAAGGACGCCGCCACCTATTTCCATGTTTCCAAACTGTCATTATTTTATTTTTACACAATAAATGCATTTTTTACAAAATATAAAATGTGTTTTTTAGAGCAAAAATATTATCATTATAATTTAAAATTACATGATTTTTTTTTCTTTTCCCAAAACAACCTTTAAAAACACTTCTTCTTAATTTTTGGGAAAAAATTGTTTTAAAATGGATGACAAATTTGGCTTTTTTAAATACGTCATAAAACATCTAATCTTTGTTTACAGTGAAAAAAACCATACCTGATATTAATCATAATAGTATTATATCATGTTTGCTCATTATGTGTTTAGCTTTTATCATTATATTGAATATCAAAGTAAACAATCCTTACTTGAGTTTAGTTCCTATAAACCTCTAACTATTGGGTAAGAAAATAATTATTTAGTAAAGTTCTAATGCAAGGAGGACATATAGAAATTTGTTGAAAAAATTATCAGATACTGTATAAAAAGGTTTGGTGATAAAAAGAGTAACGACAGGGTTATTTATGAATTTCTTTTTTGAATGATTTTAATAACTTTCCGAGATTTGCCCATGTGCTTTGTCTTGGTTTAATAACAAAGAGAGTACCTTCTCATTTTAACTCAATAGACATGACTGTACATTTATTATTGCTTAAAGTAGTGATTCAATCTGTCGGATTGACGCTTTTTTCTTCTTCTGTTGTCCATAATGTTGAAAATACTTTGATGATACATTTTGAATCCCTTTCCTCGATGAGACCATTTCCTAAATTAATGAAGCAAAAAATGCCAGAAAATTGACCAATTTAAAGGCCAAAAGCAATTTATGGTCTTTCTACATGTTTTTTTAAAAAAATGTATTCAAGGAAATACTAAAGGGCACTAGTAGTTTTCCCGGTTTCCAAGACATGTTAGGATCAAAAGTCCATCAAAAAAATAATAATGGGTAACACCTTTTTACTTTATATCGTAACTTTAAGACAACGTTGTTAACTATAAAACATTCAGCAGCTAAAATGTTTGGTCAAATCCATTACGGCAAATAATTATGTTTGGGCAATGAAAGATTGCCGTCCTTCTTCCCCTTTTCGGTACGTGTAACGTTCGCGTGAAGGGACACGGGCATCGGCCCAGAAGATTTTTAAGACTGGGGACCGGCGAAAAAAAAGAAATGAACCCTTGTGTCTTGCAGACCAGCTTTCCGATGTCCTAACTAAAGCCCGCCAGGGAGTTGTCCCCTTCCTAACAAAATAGGCTTTGGTCGAAGAGATGGATATGCAAGGGTGCGTTAGCCCCTAGCATGGTTAGACGGCTTGAACGGCAGGGCTTTTGCTGGCACCAATAACCCTTGTAAGGGCTACCCTTTCATATTGTCTCAGGAAACTGTAACATGTTACAGGTTACTTTAAGTTCTCATTGACCGCTGTACAGTGACCTTTTTTGCTCAAAATTCATATCTTTGGCTTATACTCCGTGAAAATTTCATTGAGGTAAATTATCACTACTTTGATCTTCAAAATTATTTCTTTAGGACATGACTGGTGACATGTCCGGGGTCCATACTCGACAGCGAAACTCTTTTTATGACTATATCTTATGGGATTTCTCTGTACAAGTTAAATCTGCAGCCTCCAGGTCAGCCCAAAGATACGTTTACTAGCTGGGCTGGAATATTTTTTGGACAGTTTTATGCATAATTGGCAGTAGTGTACTCCCTTTTTAAAACATTTAATTGATAGCATCCTGTTGTTAATCTCCTGACTGGGGGCTTTATAGAGATCTTTATCAGTTAATATGCTTAGATGACTGGAAGGTTAAAGTGCCATACTTGAATAGCTTTGTAGGAGCACATTTGTCTCGGAACACATTTGTCTTACGTAAGACCGATGCGTTCGCATTTGTCCCACGTGAGACAAATGGGACCTCAAATGTCTACCCCAAAACACTCATTTGTGTGACAAATGTGCTCCAATCAAGTTTTTTAAAGGGAACAAAAAGCACATTTTGTCTCATGTTTTTTAAGGGACAGAAAGCACATTTTGTCTCATGTCATTTGTTATGATTATTGTCACATATTTTTCCCACGGTAAATTTTTTTTAGAATCGAGGTTCGCCGTTTTACTTCATTTCATAAATAGGTTTGCAAATGTTTAATATAAAATCTTAAAACAAAAAACCTACATTGAACAATATAATACAATGTATTTTAATACCTCTAATTCAAGAAAATTTGATTGGCTAAACCTGAAGCACGACATTCCTTGGTACAATGGGTTAAAGTGCGATGGCACGATGGTACGAGTGATGAAAACGCGATGGTACGATGGAGAAAACACGATGATACGAACGTGAAAACAACGATTGTATGATGGTGAAACAAACAAATGGTACGATGGTAAAAACGTGATGGTACGATGGTGTAAACACGATGCTACGATGTTGAAAATACGTTAGTAAGATGATGAAACTGCAATGACATTATGATGAAAACGCGATATTATTTTCACCATCAAGTCAACGAATATCGTATTTTCACCATCCTGCCATCGTTTTTCAATTATTAGTACCGTGGTGTTTTCATCATCGCACCATCGCGTTTTCAAATTGTACCCTCGTGCATAGTGGATCAGAGAAACAAAAGTTGTTGCTTATGTCCAAAAACGAAACAACGTAATCAGGCGATGTTTAAACGATACAATATCGTGGGAACTCGTTTCGCATCTCGCTGGAATCTCGCGCCTCGCTTTGCATCTCGTACTTCGACGTGAGACAAGAAAATCCTTCGAGGCCAAATACCGCTAAAAATAGTATTCCTCTTTAATAATCTATATAAAACGGACGTTTTTCGAAGATCTACAAAACAAAGCTAGACTCATTTTAGAGAACAAATCATGAGGTATAATAAAACTGATAAAAGTAGGAGTCATGCATCTCTAAGAAAAATGTCTAGCGTCACATTGTTAACATAAAATCACTTACAATAATCTGCTATGACGTGGAAGAAACCTCCAATATTAAAAAATTTGAATTCACTTTATCAAAGTACAATTTTACCAAAATGTCAAAAAGATATCAATGGATGAAATTTAAACAGAAAATAGCTTAAATTTAGACGTCTGTGGCCATGCTAAGAGAAGAAAATGGTGTCCATTTACGACAAGGCCAGATGGGGCCTCCGCGCTGGGTTCCTTTACCATAGTCAAACCTTTGAAAGCACAGACACGAAGCGATGCGCGATATTTTACCGAGAGACACGACATGAAGAGCGAAAGTTCGACAAAACATGACGTGAGGCAACGATATCTCTACTTTGTACATCTCGTGGTACGAACGGGGATACTTCGACTTGCGAGACTCTCGTGTTAAATACCTCGTGCATCGATTCGTATCTCGTCGGAATTTCCCGTCTCGCCCCGATTATGCGAGGCCGATATTCCATAATTATTGCCATTCCCGGATTATTTTAGGGACTCATACACGTTGTAAGAGCTTTTTTCAAATGGCGGATCTGTCGGAAAATGGCGATATTTTATCTGACCGGAAAACAAAATATGTATGGGATGATTTTCTCATTTTCTTCCTGAGATCATTGAAGTGGCCTCCGTGTCCGAGTGATTTCCGAAAAAAACCACTTCCCCCTAACCTCTATAGGTTCGACACTCCTTTGGGGCGTCTAACTATTCATGCGATGAAGCCCCAAATGCGGAATATGTACTTATCCTCGTGCACACGCAATAACTATCCCTTTAGAAAGTAATAGCTATCGCTGCGCACGTAATAGTATTAGTATCGGATGGCCACGTAAAAAAGCTAATCGCTTGCGCACGTAATGAATAAGAAAATACTTATGTCCCGTTTATGCAAACCGCTATTGATTGCTTAGACTATTTTTTAAAATCATTTATAAAGCTTAAAGCATCCACAATCAATAACGATAAGAAAGGACACTCTGTATATGTGTTTGGGCTCTGGATACTGTACTGGAAGAAATTTTCATTGTGACATTACAGAACAGGATATTCTTTAAGTTAATATGTGACTCCTATGCAGAGGCAGGAAGTGTTTGATTGACCGGAAGTGACCTAAAAACGGTATTATAAATACAGAAAAACACAGGACAATTGTTGATAGCCGGATATGGACGAGCATAATTATTACCTTTTTAGAATTTTCTGAAAGACTGTGAGACAAATCTGCTTTGAGTGTCCTTTCTATTGCTGGTCGAACACATCTGTCTCATTTCCAATTTGTCGTAAACATAAATGTTTACGAGCACATCGGTCACACATCGTGAGACAAATGTGTTCCGAGACAAATGTGCTCCTACATAGCTTGATTTATTTATAAAATAACAGTCACAACTACATGTAGTAGCAAATAGGTGCTTTACGCAGTACAATATGATTTACTGTCTTTGTTTTTCTGTTTTCTTTGCCAAAGCACTTATTAAAATTAATTGAAAAGGAATTAAAAAGGTGTCAAGTTTTATTAAGATTTATAAAAAAAACTGTATAGCTAGATTGTAAGCTGAAATGATTTGTCACATGTTTTAATGATCTTTTCTTCAGGGTGTTGCATTTATATATGTCTTGAATATTCTTAAATTGTAATGTTCTCTTTATATCTAAAACTATAATGGATTCATAGATGGAAAAATTCCTTATTGAATAATAAATAATTATTATAATGAAACGTAAAGAGCTTAAAAATACGCTTTTCGTCTATCATGTTATTTTCTCTCCTTTTTGTCGAATCTACCACCAAAATGTGAGCCACCCACACCCACCCCCATACAACCCTATTTTGTATCTGTCCCTGAACAGTTTACCTGAAGATAAATAACTTTAATACATTGAATAGTTCGCGCTAAGGCCAACAAAGGCAAAATATATTTTAATGTATTTTTTACTATTGTGGAAAAGATTAAAGCTTGTATAAATCCCTTTTTCAAATACTCTGCTAGACTCCTTTTCAGTGTTCAACTGAAATCGGTGCATGGGGGGAGAGGGAGTAAACGGTAACTTGCATTTACTTCTTTCTGGATCTTTAAGTTTCTTCTATTTGGCTTTATAGTTTTCATAGATTGCCATATAATTGTTGCGTTGTATTATTTTTTTTGTTCCATCTATTTGACTTTTTTCTAGTCCTACCTGAATATTGTATAATCAACCTTAGACTATGTGCATCCTTTTTAATGCTTGTCGTTTGCGATATGCAGGTTTCGTCTCGCTCATTATTACGCATCTCGTTAATGGCACACGCATTTTGTTCCATACGCTGCTTTTCACGAGTTGGTACTTACGTGTCACATTGTAAGTCTCGTGATAATCGCCATATCAACATATTTGCGGATGTTTCCGAATTCAAAAATGAAATGATTTCTATATGAGCCGTTGCTTGGGAGTTGACGGTAGTTTAAACTTTCAAGCACCGTCCATAAACTTGATCAGTCAGTCAAAACGTTTTCAATTCTGCCGTTTTATGCGTGTTTAGAGATTCTTGTTTTTATATTATTCACTGTATCGACATTATTATTTACAATGCATTCAACTATATAATCTTCTAGGAGTGTCCCCAATATGTATTTTCAAATGAAATGATTGCTTTATAGCTTGACAGTATTTATTTTAACTGACTATAATTCAAACTGACAGCATTTTATAAAGAAAAAACAACATGTATCTGCAGTGTCTAACCGCATACGTGTACGTACTGATATTTTGCAATTTAGATAGATTTTTCATTTTTCAAAAAAGAAAACATCTTATTTTTACTTCCTTTGTACGTGGATATGAAAATATAAATGATGACACAATCTTGTTTATAGTGTCATATTTGGCTCAGAAAATGTTTATAAATGTTGAATTAAATAAATAAAAAAAACATTTATAAACTATCTTGTAACTTATGTTAATTTTATTATATGGTGAAATTACAAGTGTTTGATATTGCAATTTTTTTACAATTTTTGCAAAAGTATAACACCCTGAAGTTGTTATTGAGAAGGGGAAGAGGTGTCATAATTATACGATTGGTCCTTTCAGTATCCAATCAAAGGTGATGTTATGTTGTTGAAAAGTAATAAGATGACTACAAGATGACTATTGCAGATACATAGATGGAACGCCAAATCATGCCACGTTTGCGACTGTTGTGTCCCAAAATAAATAATCTCGCCGGAAATTACTTTTAGACTGTTCTTCATTCATCCCCTTTCATCTATGATTTTAGAAAGTAATGAGCTGAAAAGATACATATCAACTTTGACCTTGCCAAGCAGAAATCCTTCTTTTTACTGTTTTAATTACAAATATATAATCTAATTCTGTACCTGCGTTGTATAGATCACCAAAAGTATGAAATAAAATTATCATATAGAAAATCTTATCACGAAACTTCATCAATTGGTTTTTCTTTCATGAGATTCTTTAATGCACATTTAATCTGATTTTAAAGACGCCATCACTCATTTTCTCATAATTGAATCTCCTTTTCTTCAGATCGGGGCATATACTACACGTCACGAGGTAACTCTCCACCTTTTTGTATGTCTTGCCTCCATAAAAAAATGTAATTTGTTTATTTGCAATATATACGGGTAGCACAGAGATGTCGTACAATAAATTTATGTGGCCACTATCTGAATTTTGTTGTATTTTTCGCTGTTGTTGTTGTTGTTGTTGTTGTTGTTGTTGTTGTTGTTGTTGTTGTTGTTGTTGTTGTTGTTGTTGTTGTTGTTGTCTTTATTTATTACCTGTAGATCACATAATAAAAGGAAATAAATCCTGCATTTCATCTGTCTGCTTCCGTAAAACTGTTTTATCATGAACAACGGTTTTAGCATAACATATTTCGATATCCATCTCATCATTGATATAGTGATCACCTGTCTTTAGCGGTCATTTCAACTCAGTTCCCTAGCTACCTCACTATATATAGGCATGTTAGAATGTATCTGTGTTACGAAATATATGTTTGATTCTCTTGCCGTTGTACATGGTGTGATGTACATTCAGAAAGTAACACATTACTTTTCGTTACAGTTTATGTCCTTTTCACTCTTAGGTTGCGTCATTGTAGTGTCCTAACTTGTACTGCGATTTGCAATAAGTTGTTGCTTTGTTTATTTTTTTAGGGGTGATGGGGTGTTCGTTTGTTTGCTAACATTGCGCCAAGCTTCCTTATCTCCATTTCTCGATGATGCCCAACTGCTTTTGTATTCATAGTCATATACATCTTGTCGTTTCCAACTACACAGCGACAATAAATATCGTATTAACGGTGTGATTATGTTTACAAATTTGTTAGCTTATTTGTCTTGCTTTCTTCTTATGTTCATGCCTGTTTTGCCTGTAACGTTTCCTCTTTATGTCCCTTGTCCTTCCCTATTTCAATCCTGCTTTGATCCCTACACCCGTATCTGCCTTTGTATTCAGTAACTTATTGTCCGTTACTATGCGGTGTCCATATGTACTTTAGGGATCAAGGTTTTGACTTTGTAGTGTGGAGGCTGATTTCTTAAACACTGGTCCCTTCTTAAATCTTTTTTTTTATTCATGTTGTATTTCAATAATTTATATGTTTCATGATCTGTTCAAACAGTTATTCATCAGAAATCTATAGTGCATTTTTTTTCGCATCCGGACCAACACCAAATAAAAAAAACCAAATCATCATAAGACTTAAATACCCCAATTGTATTAACATATAACATTCCTATAGAACCTTATAGAAATGCGGATTTTCCGACTTGTTGAATTGCTTAAACCTTCAAAAATTAGGCTGCACTTGTGTTTGCAATTGAATATTTTTTTCTGATCGTTATTATTGAATCGATTTTTTCTGTTTGTTTGTTTGATGTTGTTGTTTTTGTTTTTTTTGTTTTTTTTAGTAATGAAATTACATACCGATTATGAAATATTAAAGTTCTTCCTAGATTCACTTCATGGTAACTGATCAAGGTTTATATTAGGTTGAGTGTGGCTATATAAAGGGTTATCCAAAAGCCAATCAGTTAGATTGAGACTCTTCCTGAAAATCAAACAAATATGGTTTCATATTGTTCGATAGTATTTTTGCTTTTCTTATGTCTTATGGTCAGTGATGCTTTCCTATTTTGGAATAGAAAGGTAGATTGTAGTGTAAGTCAATGGTCGTCTTGGAGTTCACCGACCAGTGCGGGACAGCAGACTAGAATTAGACGGATTATGCGTTATCCTCAAAATGGCGGCCAGCCATGTCCACACCTTTCAGAGACAAGGGGTACTTTTGTTTCCTTTTTTTTTGTCACACATATTAATTTATGTAAATATTTTGCATGTCATTGTTTATTTGTTTGTTTGTTTGTATTTATTTATTTATTTATTTATTTATTTATTTATTTATTTATTTATTTATTTATTTATTAATTTCTAAGACACAACTTAGATGTCGATTATCATTCAATATTTTTAAAATTCATGATTTTATCAGATATGAAAAGTTGTATTTGTTTCCTTTCCTTTTTAAACATTTATGTATTTATTATTGTTACAAGGTTTTTATCTCTGCTCTGACATGCTAAAGCATATATATAAGTTCTTAATGTACAATTTTGTTTGAATTAAACACCTTTTGATTTGTTGTACTTTGCCTAATACAAATGCAATTTACCTAACTATTGTCGAAACAAAAAGGTATTGGTTTATTCAAATAACAATTTTGGGGGGTTTTGTGGTTGTCGAACAATTTCTGTATAAATGGATATACGTTTTGCAAAATTTGTCTTCAAATCAAGTAAAGATGTTTAAAGCTCATGAAAATGTTCTCGCATTTAGATCCAAATTCGGATTGTACAGTTTCACCTTGGTCGACATGGAGTGCAAACTTTGGGTTTGGACAACAATCACGTGTCAGAACTGTTATAACTCAACCTACTGGAACCGGAAAACAGTGCCCAGTTCTTGAGGAAATCAGATACACTGGTAAGTCATTGATATTCTTTGAGATCCCGGCATTTTTTTCAAGTATTTGCATAGAGAACCCCGCTCCAGAGTGTAGTATTTCATTCCGAATTTGCTATAAACTGGGCCTTTCAACCTCATAAAAATGTGAATATTTCGTGTTTATAGTAAACTCCGGCATCAGAGCACCATGGCCAAGATAATGTATGCAAGAACAACTTTTTAAGATGTAATTTAGTGACACATTAAAGGTAATTCGTGCATGCATAATTTTGTCTCGCTTCTCTACCTTTCTATTTTGTCGAATTATAAGTTCTCAGCAGCCGTGTATATTGATTATATAAACGCAACGGTTATCGCGATTACATTTTATTAAATATTTCCTTTATTTTTAAAAAATTAGTGTGTGTTAAACACATGTAAAATAAGACAAAAACTAGAATTTTCGGTAGAATAAAAAAAGTAGCTTTTCTGATTTACACAAACATGCAATCTTTAATGGCTGCATTATGACTGTTTTCCGCTGAATAAATTGAACTTGACGCTGTCACCTACTAAGTAGATAAACTTGAATTAAAACAAAATCTAAAATGATACAGAAAACTTAAAGAGGCGACTGGCCAAACCATAGATTGACCTTACTAACTACTGGTATTAAATGGTAATGGTCGAAATCGGGAAATTAATCAACAGAATATAACACTGCTTTTAAACGGCGCTGTAGTAACACTAAACAAATTCCAAATACATAACAATGACATACAAACATATTTTTCAGGTACAGTTCCAAGCGTAAATGTTACGGCAAAGAATATTCAAGACTTCTTTGCTCGGCCAAATGGGAAAGCTTTTAAAAAAAAACCCAAGTCAAGATTTGCCTAGAGATTTAGTGATCATTATGGACAGTTCTGGTAGTATTGGCAATGTTGACTTCCAAGTTGCAAAAGATCAAACCAGCAAACTAATTGGATTATTATGTCCTAATTCACCGTTTGATAAGATTGCCGGGTCCCCCTATCAATATAACCAAGCCGCCATGTTGACATTCTCAACGAATGTGGCTGAAAACTTTGATTTTAGTACCTACAGTACCACAGTGAGTATTCAGAGTGCGTTAAAAAGGGCCAAATATGTCGGAGGAAGTACATATACCAACAAAGCGTTCGATCAAGCAGTGGGTCTTTTTCAACCGAGCAAAGGTACTGTTATTCTACGTTACTTTATCAATTGTTTCTATATCTTGGTGCTGAATGATATGTATCAGTAAAATATACAATTATTGAAAGCGTGAGAAAAATACGTAAAAAGTTGTACGGGACTCATTATGCATGGTCCTGTGTAAACATTAAAGCATAAAAAAATCTGATGTCGATAATTGTTTTACATTGCAAATATTGTATATCAAAACGAATCCATTTCTTTTAATTCTGAAATAGTATTAACAATGTCAAAATAACATTTGTCAAATTACGGACTTCAGAGTTTTCAACTAAAAGTTCAAAGTAACAAGAAGTTCATGAGAAACAGAACACGTAAAAGAAATAATGAAATAGGTCGACATATGTCTTCAAAATTTACAGACTGTTTAAACAGGTACTTGTCTGTCACTGCATTACCTCATACTGATTTCGCTGCACTCTTCGTTGATCAGTTAGATTACAGATAAGGTTATAATCTTCTTTTCTTTACTAATAGAATACTTCACAAGGCATATTATACAATGTTAATATCTTCAATATTAAAAGGAAATGTTTTCAGGTGTAAGAGATGGAACACGTGCAAAACGCGAGGTACTTATTCTGACTGACGGATTGTCTCACAATCGAACGAAAACTCTGGCTGCGGTTGAAAGACTTAAACCTGTGGCGGACATATACGGTCTTATGATAGGCAGCATCTCATCGGATGGGATGGATGAGCTTACACAATATGTGTCTTCACCGATAAATGAACATTTGTTTTATGCCCAAAATTTACAAATACTAAAAGATTTAGTATCATATATTACAAACGCGAAGCTGCAGTTTGGTGCAAATCGGTGTGCACCTTTTAATCCGTAGTACCCTTATGGCATTTTTAAGCAGCATTACTCCATACTAATTTTTGTGAAATTTACAGAATGTTTTCAATTAGGAAATATCATCGGTCTTAGCGGTGTTTATCGGCTATTTATCACCGGTTTGGAGTTTTGATGCGAAAGAATTGACCATGAAAGCCGTAGGCCTAAGTGGTTAGTTTGTTCACATCAAAACGACAAAACCGGTGTTATATAGCCGATAAACACCACTAAGACCGATGTTATTTCGATTCTAACAAGATAAAATAAGGAAGATCACTAATGTTATTTCTTTCACTGAATTTATTGCACGAGTTAAATATATAATTTGTATTTGACGTCACGTCAAAATATAAAAACGGATAAAACTTACGTCCTTCAATGGATTGTATTGTGTTAACATCAGTGCCCCATTGTTTGAACTGACGTCTGCGTTTATGAATGACTTGTTCACTTAGAATGACGTCATAACGCTGCTTACGGATTGGCGCCGTTTTGTCAAAATATTTATTAACTGATATGGATCAAATATGTGGCGTTAGTGTAAATGAGATATTAATTTGGTATTGTATGAATAGAAAACATTATAAGAATGAAACAACTATAAATAAAAATGCTTTTTTATTATTGCTTTAAAAGGGTATATAGTCTATAGTGCAAAATCACGTGGAGTGTTAGAATATAACTAGTAAATATATTTGTCAAATGAACATATTAAGTAATATTACGTATGGTGGGGTATTTGCACACCGCTTAAAATACATCTCTTAAAATGTGTGATATTAGCAGAAATAGTATATTCTCTGATTGTAATGGGAAGAGATCACGATTTAAAAGAGTTAAAGTAATTAATATCGTGCATATAAAATGTAAAGGTTTCGACATATTTTATTTGATGTTGTTGTTGCTTTGTGTGGGTGTTTTTGCTGGGATTTTGGGTCCTGTGTGTGCGTATGTGTGTGCGTATGCGTGTGTGTGCGTGCGTGCATGTGTGCGTGCGTGCGTGCGTTGGCGTGTGTGTGCGTGTGCGTGTGTGTGTGTTTTTTTTTTCTTGTTGATTTTGTTTTATTGTTGTTTTTTCTCGAGGCCTTTTTTGTCGTTATTCGTTTAAAGCTTTTAAAAGGAAACCAAAGAATATTACAGGAATCAAAACTAAAACTGGTACTGGTATAATGATCCGTCATCGCACTGAATCAATATCTTAGATATTTGATTAAATGAGCCGCATCACGACAAAACCAACATAGTGCGTTTGCGACCAGCATGGATCCAGACCAGCCTGCGCATCTGCGCAGTCTGATCAGGATCTTTGCTGTTCGCTGCCAGTTTCTCCACTTGTAATAGAGTTGGTAAGCGAACAGCATGGATCCTGATCATTTATATACAATACCAAATATATCTGTACTAATACATAGCCTGAGAAATTATATAAGACGCGCCTAACGTCTTGCCAAATATATTTTTTCTCCAGTTATGCACTTGTCCAAATACGAGTAAATCCACGTATTGTACAATTCATGTTAAATAATTTTTAATGTTAATCAGCGTCGACCATTCTCTTCTAAGCGTTTACTATTGTTTTAGATGTCTTTATTAAAAAGCGTGTATAATTGGCTTCATTTGTGCCATTGTTTTTACTTATATCAATGTTAACCATTTGTTTATCAGTATAATATATCATTGTAAATATGCAAACTGGGATATATATTCAATAAAACTTGAAATTGAAACCATTTCTTGTCTTGAATGTCTCCTCAAATCAGCGTTAACCATTGCTTTAATGTCTTTAATGTCTTTATTAATCGGCGATTATCATGCATTTTTCAGCTTGTTAAATGATTTTCAAAATCTTTATTAATCAAATTAAATTATCAAATTGTTGTTTTATTGTTTCTTCCCTTTATTTGTAAGTAGAAGAAGGTTCTTATGGACTGTGTATTTCAGTATCACTTTCCGAGAAAAAAATAATCCATTCGGCGCCGGCACCAAATTAGTTTACCTTTTTGTTAAGTTTTTGTTTCGTCATTAACACAGGTAAATATGCACCACATGTTAAACGTATGTGACACACATGTTTTACATATGGTAGAAACATATGGTTTCTCAAAAAAAAAGTACCCCATATGTTTTACATATGGTGCAGACACATCTTTTTCATATGTTTTTCATATGGATACACATGAATAACATATGTTTTTCATATGGTAGGAAACAGTGTTTCTCCAAGAAAAGGACACTGTATGTTACATTTATGGTATAGAAAGTATATGTTTTTCATTACAAATGGCTAATTGTGTTCAGAAATTGATTTGCCTGAACATGATAATTCATAAGAATTTAACAAATGTTCTGCACCATATGTAAAACATATGGGGTACTTTTCTTGGAGAAACCATATGTTTCTACCATATATGTAAAACATATGTGTCACATACGTTTAACATGTGGTGCATATTTACCTGTGTAGGATCTTCGATATTTGTCCGTGGATGAGTTCTACATGTTACACGCATTTATAGACCAAAACATTAAACTGTCTATTAAAGCAAAGTACATTGACCAAAAAAATCATATTTTGTATGCAGATGCACACTGGTAACTGTAATATGTTAACGTTAGGTCAAACATTCAAAGGCCAAGGTCATAATGAACTTTGTTAACGTTTTGAATTATTCTTTGTTGATAGTTAATAGCTTAAATTATGTACTTAAAAAATGTACTTAAAACTTAAAATTTGTTAAACAAGTAAAATTTGAAAAATTGTGCCTGCTCAGTATTTAATTGGTTGAGCCTGTTCTAAACGGCCCCTGTGTTAAATGAAAGCTATTTACACTAAGGTCCACGCCCGCAAACTCTGATATAAGCAGAATACATATACACTTTGTAAAGCTTGTTGTTGTGTTTTTAAAATTACCATTCTTCCATATTTTTCTTGTATGGCCACATTGTTAAAAATCCAAATGTAACCCCATTTTTATCACCATAATCATAAAATTTTATATTTGCCAATATTTACCCTAGAAAGGGCGAGCAAATTTATCATTTACAGTTTGATTTCCGACTGAACAAGTATCCTTGACAGACACACCTATACCAGCGGCAACTAACCATCCCACCAAACAGGGTTCTGTGGAATTGAGCTTTGCGCTCACAGTGGTCAGCCGGAAATGGCGAGATATGAGTTAAAATGACCATTTAGTGTTCGATTTTCGGCTTAACGACGGAAAAATACCATAGAATTTCCGACAGACACACCTTTACCAGTCGGAAGCGGATTCTGACTAGCCGGAACAGTAAAAAAAACAAGACAATACAAAATATGTACCGGCTGCTTCACTGTTTGGCTTACTTCACGAAAATCTATGTTTAAAAAGGTATACATGTACTTGGAAATGATAAAGGTAATTTACGTCCATTAAAAAAATTACATTGTCAAAGAAAGTTAACTTTTATATGAAACACTTTAAATATAAGCACATTCAACTGCTGAAATGTTGGTCTATCTTACGAATACTACAGAAAATCGTATATACTGATAGTATAATTTTGTTTGTTTGTTTTTGGGTTTTACGTCACATCGACACAGTATAGGTCATATCGCGACGTTCCAGCTTTACTGGTGGAGGAAGACCTCAGGTGCCCTTCCGTGCATTATTTCAGGCACGAACGGGTACCTGAGTAGAACCACCGACGTTCCGTAAGCTAGCTGGATAGCTTCCTCACATGAAAGAATCCAAAGTCCCTGTCGGGATTCGAACCCAAAGAGGTGAGGGGCAAGTGGTTTGAAGTCAACGACCTTAACCACTCGGCCACGGACGCCCCCTGATAGTATAATAAGTATGCAACTGATAGAAAATAGATAATGATATCCCCTTGAAATTTTAATAATTTTGTCGGAACGAAAAGAAATTAATGAAGAAGACTCCATCGTATAATGTTTTTTTTTCTCTTTTTGCCGTATAGGTTGTAGCATAGAAGTAGAGTAGCCGGTGGTCGTGTTGAAAAATAAGACACAAAACACAACTCTTTATAAAATTTTCATAAAACTAAAAAAGATAATTTAGTATTTCATAAATTTGGTATTATATTTTCGTTAATTTCTTTTATAACATGTCTTAAATGTCATTTTGTTGTTAGAAGGCGTCAGTAGCATTACATCTGATATTAAATACATGTATGTCTATGTCTGAAAAATAGAAGATCATTATCACATATGCATGGTAACATTTAAGCTGTATTGATATAAAATAATGATAATATTCATCATTAGTAGTAGTAGCAGTAGTAGTGTTATTATTATTATTATTATCATTATTATTATTATTATTATTATTATTATTATTATTATTATTATTTTCTCTCACAAAAAAACGTCTTAAAGATAATAAATATGCATGTTGTGAAAGCAAATAGACGTATGTTGTTAACTGAAAAGACAAATAATTACTGTACTCACTCATTTTTTCCCTTTTTTACTGTTGCTATAATCGTGTACCCTTTTAAAAGTTTACCAATACCTGCAAAGAATTTTTGGAACTTTAAACTAACCCCTCGAAGTACTCAAGAACAGAACTTATCATAGTTAGGCTACTTTAGAAAAACTAAATGATTTATCTACAATTTTCTTCATATCTTGTCGCAGTTGGATTTGTTTTGTTAGCCCAAATACATATGCATTCCCCAAGAAAGGGCTCCAGAATCGACTAACCGACACCTGTATGCAATTACACTGTGATATTTTGATAGTCATTGTTAGTCATAGTCATTTGCATGTGCCAAATTTTTTAACAAGTCAAAAATGCATAATAATAAGTTGTTGGATTTTAAGTTGTTGTTGTTTGTTTTTTTTTTGCGAATATTTTAATGGTATAATTATAATCTTTATCTTAACCATTAAGTATCAAAATCACATATGACATTATCTTGAAACGACATTTTTTCAGAATAATCAGTTTCATGTTTTATGACTCCTGAAAAACAGCTATGTCATATTGAGACATCAACTTTGCAATAAAAATAAATGATAATTAATAAATGAATACAAGCATAATAGTGATTTGCAAGCAGAAGATTTTTCCGAAAAGAAATAATGTCCGGTGTCAATTTGTTTATATACCCATTAATGACATAAAAATAATTGTCAAAATCTTTACTATTTTTTTTTTTTTTTTTTTTTTTTGTTCAATTTTGCAAAATCGTTTTCATACAGTGCGAATACCAATAACTGATAAAAGTATTCTCGAATTAAAATTCAGCGGATTGTAAAGTAACAGCTTGGTCGACATGGAGCGCAAACTTTGGGTTTGGACAACAATCGCGAGTA